TGGTGGTTTATGGGGTAGCGGCGGTAGTGGAGATGTAATAATGGAGCAGTGTAATGGTGGCTGTTTCCTAGTTGTGATGGAGGTCCAGTCGTCTAGGGTCCAGGGACGGACGCAGGATTCTGTAGTAGGTGTTGCCAGTCCGTAATAGGTGTTGCCGATCCATAGTAGGTGTTGCCGGTGGCACATTTTATAGTAGAAAAAAGAAAAAAATCGAAATTTTTGCACTACGTCGGGAAAAACTAGGTGTTGCCGGTGCCACCGTTGGCACCATACTAGATCCGTCCCTGCTAGGGTCGTCTAGGGGTGTTGAGATACGGGTGAGCTTTAGGGTAGAGAGGAGGAGCTAGGGGAAATATTTATGGAGAAAAACATAATATACGGGGCGAAAGAGATAGAACCGAGATTTTAATTTTGAAATAAACAATCGTATCATCGAGTAAGGGGATTTGAATTAAAAAAGGTTGTTGGGAATGAGATGATACATGACACTCAAAAAGAGTATTTTATTAGGTAGGAGGTAGGGATTAGTATTTGCATCATATTTTATTTATTATTATTATTATTATTATTTTTTTGCATTTATGGGCGTATTAGTTTAAATAATGTTTAGCTCACATTTATCGTTAGAATTCCGGTACTACTCATGTTTTTATGTCGTTTTCAGATATTTCGAGTGGAGCAGTATTTTAGGAGCATCTTGGATGCATATTTAAAACTTAATGGAACTAAAATACCTAATGAAGCTAGAACATGGGTTGGATTTGTTGAAATTGAAGAGTTCGCGTCCGAAACATGCATTTCATGAAAAACACGATTTTGTTTTCCCTATCTGGTTGTGATTTTGATCGTGCTCTACCTACACAACTTTTCTAGGACAAAAGTCAAGTTTAAAACCTCGAAGCATAAACACGATCATGCTTTTGAGTTTTTGTGAGATATAGTAATGTACTTCATTAATTGGGGATTTTTGGGATTTTGGACCAAAAACAAGATCGTGTTTTTGTCATAACCATGATTATGTTTTTCTATTTTGCGTTCCTAATGTTGTTGGGTTGCGTATAAATATTGCCCTAGATCATTTTAAACCCTAGACATTCCCAAACAATGAAAAACAACTTCCGGAGACGATTTTTGCACTTTGTGGATCATCTCACTCAATTAGCTTAGTAAGATTTAGTTGATAATTTATCTTTTCATTGTTTTAGATCTGATTTTAGCCATGTCTGGCTAAACCTTAGATTTCAGTTCTACAGAGATTAGTACTTCTCATGTAATCAATCATTAGACTTGGATTTTGATTTATGATTTTATCTAGATATTTCAGTTTTGATCTTAATGAATGTTTGATTTTAGTTCTTTTTATTCTGATCAACAAATTTAGGATTAAATCATTCTAGTTAATCAGTTGTTGAAATTCGTAATTGTTTTGATTAACTGGTAATAAGTAACAACGAATAGATCGGTTTTGTGTTGTGATTTGACTTTGTTATAAACTGTAATTTCATATATTTACGCTTCCGTGCTTGTGAGAAATATTGAATATTGCTGAGAATTTTACACGGATCATAATGCTGCTTTTCTAACTTGATTAAGAGCTTGTTTAGTTAGGTTTGTAAAAAAGTTAGGATTAACTACAGAGCTTGTTTTGGTTAATTAACTAGGTTAAAGAAAACTTGCTAGAGCTTATTAGTAGTTTTCGGTACTAGCGTAGATACAACGCATCTTAAATAGTCTGATTTGTGTTGATTGCATAATTACGAAAGTCGCAACAAAACTAAATTTACTTTTTATTACTGAATTTTATTTACTTTATTTCACTTTTATTTTAGTTTTAATTAATAATCAAAAATCCCCTTTTTACATTTTATGTTTTATGACTAGTATGTGTCTTACACAAATAGGCATTGATCATTAGGTTGTTTCCCTGAGGATTCGACTCTTCTTCCATGTGCTACCCATTAGTGAAACAAAGCAATGAAAATAATATTTGTTTGAGACGTCTAGGACAACGTCTTAACATGGTTCATACCGATGATACTCAGTTACCGATGGGTAGTTTTCTGACTCGTTGGAATAGGTTTTTGCCTATTAAGGTGAATATTTTTATGTGACATGTTTTTTTGGACTAGATTCCTATGTAGGCTAACCTTGTCCTCACGAATCTTGATATTCCTTCGGTTTGTGTGACCGTCATTTGGGTTCTTGGGACGTATCAGAATGTTGTAGTTTTTAAAGATCTGACTAACTAAAAGGATATTTTTTGCATTATATTATAGCATTTTCTTTTAATTGGTTTTATTTTAGAAACGTTAAGGCTTCTAAGAATTGGATTGAGTGGCTTCATAATCCAAGTATTTCTTGATTGTATTTTTCTTTTTCTTTTGCTAGTTTCTAGCTAACTTTCTAATATATAGCTATTGTGGAAAGAAAAAAGTTGATTAGTTTAGTAGTCTACCTATTTGAAGTATAAATTACAAAAAGATTTAAAATCACGTAAACGATGATGCGGGTTATTTATATAACTATCATAATTTAATGCTTAGACTGTGTTTGGCGCGCCACAACTAGCTGGTATGCTAGCTTATTTTTCGAGTTTTTTTTAAGTTGTCATGTTTGGAAAGCCAAAAACTAGCTTATAAGCTAGTTTTTTAAAAAGCTACTTAGATTAGCTTTTTATGAGCTTTTTTAAAATTTTCCAAATATATCCCTCAATTAATATAGAAACACATTCTTTTAAATGTCATTTTATATCTTTCAACTAGTTTTATCAAACATTATTTTTTATCAGCTACCAGCTAGTTTTTTTATTTAACAACTAGCTTTTCAGCTATCAGCTAGTTTTTCAGCTAACAACTAGTTTTTCAACTAACAGCTACATTTTCAGTTAGTACGCTAAATATAGTCTTAAAATGTAAATATCATGTTATCCAATTGTATTTATGTTTTTATATGACAACTTTAATCGGTATATATACTATTGTTTTGATTTACAGGAATTTCTTTAAGTATATTTTTGGACCTTATATTTAGAAAATTACATTTTAATTTCTATAGCTTTTAATTTTAAAAAATAGATTAATTACATTTTAGCCCTATAGTTTTTAAAGTTTTTTAATTTAAAAGATTATATTTTGATCTATGTAGTTCTTAATTCTAAAAAGAAATAGATTAATTATAAATTTGGTATATATGGTTTTAATTTAGAAAATTACATTTTTGATTCTTATAGTTTTTAATTCTAAAATTATATTAGAAAAAATGAGTAAATTACAATTTGGCGGTTATGATTTGTACTGTTATGAACTTTAATTCAAAACATTTCGAAAATTTGACATTGATTATCACCGTGATTGGCAAAAATTGCATTTATGGTCTCTCATGTTGTTACCGATTCAAACCTTTTCTTATAAATCTCTCTTAAATAACCATTTTAACCTCACTTTTATCTTTTTCTAGTTTTAGTTTTTTCTACCTTTGTCCCAAATTAATTATCCACTTTTGACTTTTGAAGTCTTTTTTCTCTAACTTTGACCTTAAATATGTTTATTTATGTTATATATTATTTGATAAAACTTATAACAATGAAAAGATAGTTAAAATACAATTCATTCATATATTTTGCATCAAATATTATCTATCAAAAACAAAAATACAAAAATATTTAAAGTCAAAGTTGAAAAATAAAGACTTCAAAAGTCAAATGTGGACAATTAATTTGGGACGGAGATAGTATTATATAACTATTAATTATTTATTTTTGATAATTATATCATCACTTTTATTAATTTACATGTATATATCTCAAATATATAAATTATACATTCCATCAACACTTGTTACAATAAAATTTGGATATAGTCAGCACATGGAAGATAGTTGGGCTTTTATACATTACAAAGCTCATGAAAGTGGAAGTGGTAGACCCAATTTCAGGTCAAGTAATTAAGTATGCGGTTCAAAAGTCACTATCTCAAGATCATTGACTATAAGTTGTTGACTATTCAACATCAATTGACTTTTTCTAATTTAAAGACTACTAAGGACCATATGTAACTTGTAGACTATTGTGTATCAATTGGCATTTTCTAATCTAAAGATATTCATAAATTGTAATTATTAACATTGTTCTGGATTCAGAGGAAAGGTTCTTAGATAGAACAAAGACGTTATTAATTATAGTCTATTTCTTATTAAATTAACTCCAAACAAAAAAAGTTAATATTAATAAAAAATTTACATAATTTTTTTTAATCATCTCAACCACATACTAAGAGCATCACATCACAAAACATATATCCAATATTTATATACAAAAAACACATTCTTTTAATTACTATGTTATTTAAAAAAAGACGCAACAACTATAATACGTAGTTAATTTATTCAATTAATTTTTAATAATATGCTATGAAAATTAGATAAATAAAAAAAACAAATGTAAAATTATTATTAAAAAAAAATATCATATTGAATATTAGACTTTTTTTTAAAGTCCTGGTGGATAATAGTTTAATTATAAATTTTTACATATAATAATTGTAATATTCATAACAAACACTCCAAAATTTATATGAAAAAAAAAAAGAACAGGTGTGGTGTTTTATTGTCGAGTCAATGATAACAATAAAAATTCAGTCATCTCTACACGAAATTGATTTTGTCATTACTCATCTCCACTATAAACGTGTTGTAAATGGGGTGTCATAGGAATGTGAATTACTCAAACTTTTGGAAGGATTCCGTCACATTGGAGGCTTGTTGGTTTAAAGAATTTATAAAAACAGATTATTGCAGTTTACTTTTTGAGAAGGCTCGTCGTATGTTTCAAAAAACTTAGTAAAACAGGGCAAACGTACAGAGACCTTTTCAACAATCAACTAGTTGTTAAACTACAGTTTAGATTCTCAAGATGGGACTAAGTCTTCATGTCAATGCTCATATAAGAAGTTTGATCATGTTCCCCAATCATTATCCAAATCACAAACACACAGAAAGCAACAATGCATTTAAAGATAGTAATACTAGTAGCAGCTATGGCAGCTTTGGGAGCAGCAAGTGCTCAAAAAGAGTCAAACTGTGAAAGGTCATGTGGCAATGTGAGTATTGTGTTCCCTTTTGGTTCAGGTGAGGGATGCTACTACAGTTCTGATTTCCTTGTAACTTGTAACCGATCATCTGGGGAGCCAATAACGTTCTTGGGAGAAAGCAAAAACAATATTGTTATTTCAAACATGTCAGCTGATACAAGTGAGATGGAGATTATGATGTTTGTAGCCAGTGATTGCTACAACATCTCTGGTCCAAGTGATAGGAGGCGTGCATTTTTGACATTGGCTGTAACAGACAGGGATATCCAGATCTCAGCCAAGAACAAGTTTATTGCCATTGGTTGTGACACGCATGCATATTTTAATGGAACAAGAGGGAATGTGTCTGTTGGTACAGGTTGCATTTCTAGATGTGGTAGCAACACGCTTGTTACAAATGGATCTTGTTCGGGTGTTGGGTGTTGTGAAGTAGCAGTGCCAGAAGGAATGAACTCCTTTCGCATGAGTCTAAGCAGCTATAATAACCATACAAATATAACTGACTTCAACCCTTGTAGCTATGGCTTTTTTGTACAAGAAGGGAAGTTCAGTTTTTCTACCACTAATTTGCTTAATTTTCAAAGCCGAAAGGTGCCTATGTTACTTGACTGGGGAATTGGAAACTCGACTTGTGACATAGCAAAAAAGGACGTGGATAAATTCTTATGCAGGGAAAACAGCATATGTGATAAAACTTATAAAGGTCGTGGATATCGCTGTAACTGCAGTGAAGGCTATGAAGGCAATCCTTATGTTCGCTGTAATAGTAAGTGATATTCCTTATTTTTCTTGTTTCTTTCCGTTATATTCCAATCCTTGCAGCACCTGCAGTGTTTGAGCCTAATGAAATGCTTGATCATATGTACTCTACAGATGTTGATGAGTGTCAAAAAGAAGATCATGGTTGCGTACATATATGCAGTGATACACCAGGAAACTATACATGTAAATGTCGAAAAGGTTATTCTGGAGATGGAAGGAAAGATGGAACAGGCTGCACTGCAGATCAATCAATGCTTATAAAGATTTCAGTAGGTAAGTAAAGTGGCAATCCTTTCATGTTGAGCTCCTACTACAACAACTAAAATCATTGTGGTATATAAATTAAAGTTTCTTGTTGCAGGTTCCTCATTTGCTGCCATCGTTCTGATTGTGTTTGTTAATTGGTTGTATTTCGGACTCAAGAAACGTAAACTTATGATCCTCAGAGAAAAATTCTTTAAGCAAAATGGTGGAATCCTGTTGCAGCAACGAATTTCTGGGGATGGTGGATCTAATGATCAAGCAAAAGTGTTCACTATAGAGGAGCTTAAGAGGGCAACCAACAACTATCATGATAGCAAGATTATTGGTAAGGGTGGCTATGGCACAGTTTATAAAGGAGTACTATCAGATAGCAGAACAGTTGCCATAAAGAAGTCCAAACTAGCTGATCAAACCCAAACCCAGATAGAGCAATTTATTAATGAAGTGGTTATCCTTTCTCAAATCAATCATAGAAATGTGGTGAAGCTGATTGGTTGTTGCCTGGAAACAGAGGTCCCATTATTGGTTTATGAGTTCATTCCAAATGGAACTCTCTCTGATCACATCCACAACAAAGGCAAGTCATCGGCTATTACATGGGACATCAGACTTAGAATAGCAACAGAAACAGCTGAAGCTCTTTCCTACTTACACTCTGCTGCATCAGTCCCAGTCATCCATCGAGATGTGAAGCCAATGAATATACTCTTGGATGATAGTTTTGTAGCAAAAGTAGCTGATTTTGGAGCATCAAGGCTTGTTCCTATGGATCAGATTGAGCTGGAGACAATGGTGCAAGGAACACTAGGCTACTTAGATCCTGAATATATGCAGACGAACCAGCTGACAGATAAGAGTGATGTTTACAGTTTTGGGGTAGTGTTAGTGGAACTGATGACTGCAAAAAAAGCTCTTAGCTTTGATAGGCCAGAGGAAGAGAGGAACCTAGCCATGCATTTTCTATCTTCTTTAAAACAGGGACGACTCTTCCAGATTCTTGATGAACAGCTGCAGAAAAATGATGATCATAACGAGATCATCAAAGTCTCAACACTAGCAGCAAGATGCTTACATGTTCAAGGAGATGAAAGGCCTACCATGAAGGAAGTAGCTATGGAGCTGGAAGGAATATTGGCATCATTGATACAAAAGCATCCGTGGGTGGAAAGTACTTCGAATGAAGAGGAAGTGGAGTATTTGCTTAAAGGACCAACTGATGACTACGAATGCACAGAGGGGGCAACTGGAAGTTCAAGTACATTTGATAGCATGAACAAGCTTACAATATTACCTATTGCTAGTGGCAGGTAACAGTAGATACTTTGTATCTTCAAGGTTGTACTCTAATTTTTTTTTTTTTTGATTAATCTATATATGTATATTTTATTATTATTTTTTTTCTTTTGAAAGAGCACCCAAAGGGAAATTGAACTACCATATGCATGAGTGGATTGTCTATTCTATATTTGTATACCATTCATAAACATTTTGACATAAGATCGGACGGTCTAGGTCCAACATGAAGGACCACAAAATCAATGGACTATATGTTAGGTTTAATCTTGACAGATTATTCAAGTTTTAATTTAGTATTTTGTTTATTTTGTTAATTAAATAAATGGTAGTGGGTCTTGAGGTGAATGGGTGATGTAGACCATAGTTTGTAGTTTTTGGGGGCATTTAGAAGGTTAGGTGATCAGGAGCTAGAAAAAAGGGACACGTGGGTTGTTCTCTTTTTAATGGTTTTAGCTCCATTAGGTTACGTAGGCTATAAAAAACATTTTATTTTCTGAAAAATTAGCACTGTTTTTTTAGTTACATACATTCTTTAAGACTTGAGGGAGAGACTGCGGTAGAGACCGCAGTTCCCTACCACCTCAGCATGAACACCGCCCCTCCACCGCGGTTTGGGTGCGGTGGAGGCCGCACCACGGTAATCCTCTCTCTCTCTCTCTCTCTCTCTCTCTCTCTCTCTCTCTCTCTCTCTCTCTCTCTCTCTCAAGCAATCATCTTCTTTCTTTTTTTCGTTCTTTCTCTCTCCTACCATTTTTCCCACTCTCACCGTGTGGTATCAAATTGATGAAATGACAAAAAAAAATGAGTTGGCGTCTACGTGACATAAGAGGGAGTGTGGTTTCAGTGACACCGTTTCATCCAGCCTAATCAATTTCTCATCTCATCTCGCGTATTAAGAGGATCGAATATTGTTTGCTTTTGAGGGCCTGATTTCCAACACTATATACATAAGTAACCAATTAAAGAGGGTATGTGCAACAAGGACAATATCCGATCACATAACTTTCTAAAAACTGCAACAACTTGTAACATGATGATGCCCTCATATCGATATGGACAAACATAACATTAGGGGTGGCAAATCGGGCCATCGTGTCGTGTTTTTGTCTGACACGACACGACAAAGTTTTATGTAACACGAACACGACACGACACGATGTCGTGTTTTTTTTAACTAACACGAAAACGAACCGATTAAAACACGACACGACACGACAAAGATAACATAATAAAAAATTAGTTTATTTAATTAATATTTAATCATTTATAACGCGAAAAACACGACAAACACGAAAAACATGACAAATAAATGCTAATCGTGTCAATTTCGTGTCGAATTTTAAACACGAACACGAACACGACACGACATCGTGTTTTTTACACTTAACACGAACACGACACGAACACGAATTCGAATTTCAGTTTCGTCCCAATTTCGTTTCGTGTCGTGTCGTGTCAACAATTGTCACCCCTACATAACATCCAACATTGTTAATATATCTTCAATGTCTTGAAATCAAGTGTCACAAAATGTTATTTTTCAAGGGCTTGCTCTTCTTTATGTGTTCATCCTAAACTCCAGAAGTAAAATCCCAAACCGTTTGTAAAACAATATCACATATCACAAATTAGATCTTCTCTCTCTCTCTCTCTCTCTCTCTGATATATAGATATATATATATATATATATATATATATATATATATATATATATATATATATCTATATATATATAATATATATATAGAAAGAAAGAATAAAAGTATGTAGCTTTTAATGGGTCTTCTTCTATCTTTGAAAATAATCTACATTTTCAATTGAATAAAAATTCTTTGCTTATCAACTTAATTTTGCATTTATTTCAAATTAGATTAAGTTAAATGCAAATATGGATATTCTGAAAATAATAATACTTTAAAATTTTATTGTAAAAAAAAAAAACCATAACAAATTTAAATTAATATGATTTCCAAAACTAATAATTTGTTTACAGTGAAAAAGTGAATACAACGGTTTGAAGAGTCAATTGCAAGCTAAAGCTAATTACAATAAGAAAAAATTACAAAAATGGTTCTTATGGTTTGTCAAAAATAACAAAGTATTCAGCCGTTAGGGACTGAATTTGTAAGGGCATTTTTGTCTTTTCAACTATAAAAGGACTGAATTCGTATCATTTGATAAACCATTGGGACCATTTTTGTAGATTGTCTTAAAATAATATAAATGTGTAGAGGTCGAAATATGTTGTAAGGTGTCGAAGTGTCTTATGTCTTGTTTTAGTTTCAAAGTCTGTAATGATGTTTCGTTGTATGTATTTCATAAGGGCACTCTTAGATGTCAAAGCATTCACGTTTTAGCCCTTATGTATTTTTTGCTTACTTCTATTATTCCTATAAATAGGGATGGGTACTAGGGATAGAGTAACTTTTGGTACTTAGTGTTCTTTAATCTACATAACTCTTGTTTCTTTCAGAAGTATCAATTGAGCCAAACAGATTATATTTACAACTTGTGTTCTAGATTCAACTCATACTCTGACTTCATTTCGTTTACTCGATTCATACGAATTACATTTGGTATCAGAGTAGAATTCTAACAATTGATTTCTGATTTTCTCTTTGTTTCAAAAGTTTTTAAGTCGCTATTTTTGGTTCAAAACTATTTCGCACTTTTGGTGGTTGTCGAGGCCAACAAAATTAATAACCCTAAATATAACACACTAAAATAGTGTATAGTGGTAAAGGGATCGAATCCACGGAGATTGGTTCAATTTTATAACTCTATAAAAAATCTCTTTGTAAAAATACTTGTAAAATAACAATAAATGAAAAAATGGGGGGGGGGGGGGGGGTTGGTCTTTTGAGATACTTGAAATAAACTAGAATTAAACTAAGATTTAAATAGACAATTTCAACAAAAATAAGAATTTGATGTGAAATCAATAAGAGAAAGATGGTTGACTTAAGGTTTCCTTACTTTGACTTTTGATAAACATATCATTAGAATCCAATGGTGCAATACTTGTTTTAAATCCTTAATTTGGCTATAGTAATCCAAGTAGCTTGAGATTACCTAGACTTTTCTTAGTTGTTAAAATGGTTAGAGAAGCTCATAACAATTTCCTTAGTCAAAGTCACAATTTCCATTAAGCATGTAATTAGTGAAAGTCAACTAGCATTAAGAACCAAAAAGTCACCAAATCCAAGAGGGGTTAAATGCTTTCACCACCATGTTGGAGGAAATGTTTTTATGATTGTGTGAAGCAAAAACAACACAAAAATCATTTTGTTGCTTGCTAATTTGAGGATCTTTTACTTAATCAAGAAATAGCCAACTAATCACCACAAACACATTTAAACTCATGAACTAAAACATACAAGTAGTGATAAGATGTTAAAACACAAAACATTCCCATAAAGATTTAAGAACATGTTCATGGATTCTTCAATATTCAACAAAAGTTCAAAGGATTCAACAAAAGTCAACCAAGATTAGTTTAGCCAAGCATGGCTAAACCCAAAGAAATAAATTTAGAGAAGATTGTACCAAACATTTTACAATAATCAAGAGGTGAAAAGAAGATGTTCTTGAGGTGTTCTTGGCCTTCAAAAGTGCTCCAAACTCCAGAGAGAAAGTGTCAAAATCGGACATCCAAGATAAGGTTGAAGAGGCACATCAACCTTCCCAATATAGAGCTCTAGACAAAATCCCAAATTTGCCCTTGTCAGGGTTCCACGCGGGCCGCGGGGAATCTTACGCGGGCCGCGTGACTATGACGAAGTTTTTGGGCTTCTTCAAGATTTGGGCCCCCACAGCTTAACCATTGGCCCAGTTCGAGTCTAATCAGCTTCTAGCCCATTTTTCTTCAATATTTCTTCAATTTGAGCCCAATTTGCCTCTCCACATCACTCAAAGCTTCCGCAAATTCCTAAACATCGATCTTGCACACTCAAGAATTCTCCCCTGCCTTTCAAATTTAAAGTTCAACACTTCTACGCCTTCAAGCAATTGACAAGTCCACTCCATGAATCACCTCCATAGCCATCAAGCATGAAATCCTCATTTCCCTTCAAGCCCAATCGCCTCCCAAGAGTCCCGCTCCGCTAGTCTCCAAAAAATCTGCAATAACGCTCAAGAAACTAGAAAGTACCCGAAATGGTCATAAAAATAACAAAAACGAAAATATGCATGGAAATTAACTAAAATGCGAATGAAATGTGCTAAAAAAAACTATAAAAAGAAGTATCAATTGAGCCAAACAGATTATATTTACAACTTGTGTTCTAGATTCAACTCATACTCTGACTTCATTTCGTTTACTCAATTCATACGAACTACATTTGGTATCAGAGTAGAATTCTAACAATTGATTTCTGATTTTCTCTTTGTTTCAAAAGTTTTTAAGTCGCTATTTTTGGTTCAAAAATATTTCGCACTTTTGATCTAGAAAATCTTATTTAATCAATTGTTTTGATTCGATTCTACTGTTCGTTTGATAAATCGAGTGTTCAGTATTTGATTTCTGAAAGATTCATTCCTTAGATTCCTTTTTCTGAAGCTTTTCATCATTTGTGTCCGTACAACAATGGCGAACTTCAACATGAACACAATGACTTTTTTCTCTCATCTTCTCGGATCTTCAACCAAAATTCCGATGTGGATTCCTGAATATTATGAGCACTGGGCAGATAGGATGGAAGACTATCTAAATGGGATTGATAAAGATCTATGGAGTTATATTACTGGTGGAGAACGTTCTAGTGAACGAATACATCAAGTTGGAACTGGTAGTTCTGATCCAAGTGTTGCATCACAAGCAGAGAGACTAAAAGCAAATAACAAAAGATGCTTGCGTGAACTTCGCGGTGCTCTTCCACCGGTTGTTTACAATTATGTTCGTGGTTGCAAAATAGCTAAGGAGATCTGGGCTACTTTGAAAAAGAAGTATCATGGAAGTGAGAAGAAAAGAAAAAGTTATGATAAGCAGTGTCTGCTTGAATTAGGTGAATTCAAACAAAAGGAAAATG